TGTCTACTTCTAACCAAGACTGACCAGAGTGAAAGAAATTGGAAGATGATCCAGTATTTGTCAGTAGCGTAAATTGTTAGCATGAGTGACTTCATATTGCATTCATGAATACCTGCATCTGAGGGAGAGTGCAGTCTCTTTGCTGCCATAGTTGAGAGGCCTGTGGGTAATCAGGGATAGTCTTCCTGAAAGCAAGAAAAAAGGTTCCTAAGTGAAAATTGTAATGGCCACAAGTTCAGGTGACTCTCAGATGAGCAGTGCTGTAAGCACCACACAGGTTTCACTAAGCAGAAAAAATCTGTACCTATAAGAGAGCAAAATGTACAGATAAACATCCTCAGGCACAATGCTTGCAAGCTGCAGGCAAATCCTATGATTTGTTTTCCAAACAACACAGGAGCAATACAGATCATAGAATCATTTAGGTTGGAAAAGACCTTTAAGATCATCGAGTCCAACCATAAACCTAGCACTGCCAAGTCCACCACTAAACCATGTCCCTAAGTACCACGTCTACACGTCTTTTAAATACCTCCAGGGATGGTGATTCAACCACTTCCCTGGGCAGCCTCTTCCAATGCTTGACAACCCTTTCAGTAAAGAAATTTTTCCTAATATCCAATCTAAACCTCCCCTGGTGCAACCTGAGGCCATTTCCGCGCAGCCTGTTCCAATGTTTAACCACTCTTTCAGTAAAGAAATTTTTCCTTACATCCAATCTAAACCTCCCCTGGCGCAACTTGAGGCCATTTCCTCTCGTCCTTTCGCCAGTTACTTGGGAGAAGAGACCAACACCCACCTCGCTACAACCTCCTTTCAGGTAGCTGTAGAGAGCAATAAGGTCTCCCCTGAGCCTCCTTTTCTCCAGGCTAAACAACCCCAGTTCCCTCAGCTGCTCCTCAGAAGACTTGTGCTCTAGACCCTTCACTAGCTTCGTTGCCCTTCTATCCTTCTCTGTTTTCCTTCCTATTATTTTCCTTTCCAGTCAACCTCCCCCCTGGGATTTCTTGTTTATCATCCAGCAACAGCCTCTGCAAAGAGGTATGGCTTCTGGCTGTAAAGCCTGTCGGTACCTGAGCAGGCTTTGGCAACATCAGTTGATGGAAGCTGCACAAGAATGACTTATTTCCCCTCTTTGGGTCATCAAATAAAGTAACAACCCACAAATTTAGGATGAAGACTGGAAGAGCTTGATTCCCCAAATGAGATGGCAGTTGAAAGTATGAAGAGATGGAAAGGATAAATGCAACAGGGTAAACTGCATAGGAAAACTGTGCGTTATTACTAGCAGTACTTGGTCAGCTCTTATCCCTGTCGTAGTTCCACTAAACTGATTATTATGTAAAATGAAAATGTTCCTAAACTTGCAGTTACTAAACTATAAAAAAAATTTTTAGTCTCAATACTGAGGTAAATTGGACAGGACTCCTATGTTCATGAGTTGCCAGCCAGCCAGGTACAGGACTCTAGGACTGAAATTACTCGTGTTACATGAACATCTTAAATTGTTGATGTACAATGCTGTACTCATCACACTGCTGATGTCTATTGCTGTAATACTAATAATGTAAATAATTTCAGTTCACTGGCCCGTGCACTTCAACCATCCATTCTAATGATGATGAAGCTTTCAGATGGGACAGCTCATCGCTTTGAAGTAAGTCTGATTGCCATAATAAATAAAAAAGAAACTACTTGAAGTTCTTTTTAAAAAGTTGAATTACTATTTAAAATATTAAAGCTTGTGTAAACAATGCATTAGCATTGGTTGGTTTGCTGTGGAATCCTTCATGTTCAGTGTAGCCGCATACAATATATAACAAAATGCCAACCAAAATCATACCTTGTTCCTACACACATTTTGCTGAAACCTCATTTGTTAGAAGAATATTAATTACTGAAAAGCACTGTTGCATAATATCTGGTTTGATTAAAAATCATGGTTTTGTTATCAGCTGTAACCTTCAGACCTGATGGTGGCTCGTGAGGGCAGAAAAATTACTGGGGTAGTTTATATAATGTATGATACACTTCTAAACTTCCTACATTTGGTGAAGAATGGTAACATTCTCTTCTGTGGCAGAGGTAGTTTTATTCTTTTTCTTCAGTAGAGTTCTTGCTGCTAGAAAGAAAGTAAAAAAACCTCTCTGCTTTTTACATCAGAATTAGTCAGTCAGTGGCAGTATTTATGATACTGTACGTAAAGGCTTGCCAGAAGATGGCATAAACTCTTCCATATTTTTAACCTTTGAAAAGGAATGCTATTTGCTCTATAAATAACATGGTGGTGCATACAGGAATTCAGTGCACAGCAGGCATTGTTACATTTGAACTCTGTAAAGATTTTGGCTTCAGTTCATGTGTTAGTAGTAGTCTGGAGGAAGCACCAAAGCACTGTGGGTTCAAAGAGGTGGACTGCTGTTACAATGCTTCACAAGAAGGCAGCTATTGAGGAGGGCACAAATTCTGTGCTACATTGCGAAGTGTTGAGGGTGTCACTTCACGGGAGATCAAATTCACCCCTCTGTGGACAGCCCAGCTCAGAGCATCCCGTACGCTCTGTTTGAGGTCTTCCATGGAACTTAAATGATGCCATGGACTTCAGGTTAACCCTTTACAACAGGGTAAGTTTTACTTGTGAGAATAAAAACTAGTTATATATTCTTTACTGTTTAGATTTGAGGCTTTATTTCCTGGTGTATAATGTCAAGTCTTGGTCTTGGTGGCATTGTTCCTGGTTGTTTTGGTTTGGTTTGGCTGTAAACACGATTTCTGTATCTGATGAGTGGTCTTCCTGTAGTTAGTAGCTCTTTGGGGATAAACCTGTGTTTTGGTTCAAGGTGCCATATGCAAACAAATACAGTCCTCAGCTCTTCAGTTTCCTTTCATTCGGACGTGTTCAGAATGTCCTGCTAACTAACAGGGCTTATGTAAGATGGTAAGTCCAGGAGATTAAAACTGTTCATAACAGAATTAAATGTGTATGCCACAGGGAGAAGTTATGCTCTTTGGTGTCTTGGGTTTGGTTTGGTTTTTTAATCGCAGTGTGACTTCTGACAATGAAGATTTTTTAAAAAGCAATGGGAATTGCAGCATTTCGAGTCTTGTATATGTCAAAAGTGAAAAGGACATGCTGCCTTTTTATGCATTTCTGATGCATATGGAAAATGCAAATCAGATGTTGGATTCCTCTCACATAATTGATATCTGTGCTACAGTAGGCAGAAGGATGACAAGGGACTCTGTCAAAAGAACTGCATGTCTTCAATGTAGTCAAAGAAGTAGAGTAAATTACGCAGTGCTCTGCAGAGCAGCCTGGGACTAGATAGACGGCTGTTGGTACTCACGTGAGCACATGCGTTTGTGCATGGCACTAATGTTAATCTGTGTCACCCAGTCTGTGCCTGTGCGCGGACGTGGTTCTCTGTCTTAACAGATAATAGGTTTCCATCCATTTGGCTTCTCAGGCTTGAAATGGTAAAGGAAAGTCCATTAGTATCCTGCACAGTTGAAAATGTTTTGTATATTTAATCAAAATCTTTTGCTTTCCATGTATAGACAGTGCCCAGTCCTCTTTGCTCTTGGGGTTGCTGCCAAGTCTCTTGCTTTGAGGCTCAATTCCTTTCTCCTGCAAGCTTGGACAAGCAGAATATCTGCAATTTGTTGCTTGAGAACTCTGTAGGCTCCACGACCTTCCAGGTGTCTTTATCTTTCCTTCCAATCCATGACTCTCTTACTTCACCACAGCAGCCATCAGTTTACATTCTGGAGTACTTCCTTTCTCACATCAGGCAGTATAGAAAATGTACTATGTAGCTGTTATTTCTGTTTTTTTCCAGTCTCCTATTCTTTTTCACCCAGATGATTTAGTTGAATTAACTGCATTTTATTAACCTCAAATCCTTTGTCTTAAGTCAAAAAAAAAAAAAAAGTATTTTAAGAGAGATTGGGCTGACACTGTGGACAATGTTCCCTGTCCATGGGCATGCCCTACTCAAAGTTCCTAAGATGTTTCATGTTTTCTAACCTGAATATTCTGTTTCAGGTGCCAGTTGCAAAGTTTCAAGAACTGAGATACAATGTTGCCCTTATACTGAAGGAAATGAATGATTTGGAGAAAAGGAGCATACTGAAGATCCAGGACTGAACACTTTTAAATTGGGAGTTTATAGACCAGATCTGAAACCCTCAGCGTGTTTTGTGAATGGCAAAGCAGGGGACCATCACCACTTTGCCTGTCTGAATTGCAATGTCACGTTTATGATGTCTGCTGTAAATATTTTTTCGATTCAAGTGTTAAAAGCACAAGCTCTTTTCCTAAGACTTAGGAAAACCAAAAAATATATCTATGAAAAAGTATAAAGCTGTTTGTGAGCATTTTTGCATGATTCATCAAAACATTTTTTAAATAACTGTCTTAATAGATGTAAGAGTCATTTATTTCTGATTATGATTCATCACTCTAATTATTTTTGAAAGCCTGCCACCGGAAGCCCCATCAATGTGTATCATAAGAAAGCTCTGCAATATCTCAAATAAAAAATAAAATAAAAAAACCACTCCTGCACTCTAGTATGACAAAAGTGAACTTGAGTTTTGCGTAAGTAAAATTGCTGTCTGGCTTCTCACTAAGTGACGAGGTATAGCTACAGATATTTAAAGGCTCATTTTGAAGAAAATTGGAAGTCTGTGGATCAAGAAAGAAGTATTGACTGAGCTTCCAGAACTAATTCCATGGAATTGCAGAAGTGGAAAGGTGCAATCTAAGTCTTTATCTGGTTGATCAGAATGGGCTAAATAGCAGTAATCTCATCGATTTCTAACTGGAAATGCTTGCCTCTTGTTTCATGCATTTCCTTTATGTTTGATGTGAACAGAATCATCTGACTTATTACTGGGCAGAAACCTCTGGCACTGCGATGACAGCAAACAGCAGGAGGCAGTAACCTTGTAGATCACTACAGCTAGATACTCATTAATAGTGCAAGTCAGACCCCAGGATGAAGAGGCTGCGTACAGCCTCTGGGGTGCAAATCACAGGTATGAGGATATTCAAGCCCCCAGGTCAAGAAAACAGTTAAGCATAGGCTGAAGTTCCCTGAACTGGTCGGGCAGTTGGACTAGGTGATCATTGTAGGTCCCTTCCAACTGAATTATTCTATTCTATTCGAAGTTACTCCTTTGCCCCATGAGTAAACCTTGGAAGAACTCCCTTAACTTAAAGCATATGCTTTAAGTCTCATTTAAACGCTGTGGGACCACTAGTATGTCCCTAAGAGTTTTGCCAAGAAGGGATGCGTTCCTCAGCCATTGCCTGAACGAGTTTTCCCCCAGCAGCAAAGATACGGAGGCTGTGAGCAATGGCCCAAAGACAGCACAGGCGTGGGCCCTAGAACTGTAGGATTTATCTGGCTGTCAAAGGTAGCTTAGAAAGCACATGCCACTACCGTTGTTAAGCATTGGCTTATTCTAGCTGCTTTCAGGGCTTCTACCTCAGTAGTACCACCCATACTTCTCTCATTTTTTGTGATTGTAGAACTTGCCTTTATCTTCCTCACTCCCCGCAGAAAACTGCTGAAATTAAAATTGTGGATTCAGGAGGCCTTTTACACTCCCCCAGATGTTTGTGTAGGAAAGGATGACTTGGCTCTTGGATTTTAAGAATCACAACAGGCATAAAAAGACTTCGTTGTCATACTTTTTAAGAGGAGACTTCTTTGACAGCAGTCCGTACCAATCTAAAGACAGCCAAATAGCTGTGGTCCAGAAACCTTTTAAAACCTGTGCAAGAATGTGTCCTGTAGCTTCAAATGAACCTATCAGCTGTGATTTCAAACTGTTCAGAGGCTGCATGTTCTATTTGCTTTGTAGGCTACTCATCAATAACTTCCAGGTTTGATCCATACTGCATCTTAACTACTGTGTTCAGATCACACCAAAGCATATAAAGAGGAATTACCTCCTATAATTTCAACTGGACTGTAGATTGCATTAATGTGATGTTTTCTTTTTGGTTTTACTTTGTGAAGCTTATTCATCTTCTTTCTGGAATTACATTATCACAAGCTGTGAAACAAAACATACATTCTTATGTTCCTTGTTATAACCTTTCCCTTCTGAATGTTTAGGTTTACGTGGTTTCAAACTGGAAAGGTGTCTCAACTGAGACCGTAAGTGAGGTCTTTTCAGACAAACGGAGCACTGCATGAGTGCAAAGTGACGTATTGCTCAGACATTTGCAAAGTATTTTTTTACTGGTCAGAGTAGAAAAATCCATAAATACCTTTACCTTCTAGACAGAATACATTCGTTCAGTTGTTCTGGAACAGCAGTTGCCCATGTTCTCCAGAAATGGAAAGGCTTCCTTACTCTTTTTCTCATGTTCTCTGCGAGGGGTGATGGACCTCTAGTCTCAAGTTTGTCTTGCCACACATTAAGCAGGAGTTTACTGTAATTGGAGGTTTACCATGCACACTGAGGGGTACTTAAACGCTTGGGATTTTCATTCCTCTGTACTTAAAAGAAGAGTTAATTTGGGCTTTCCTTCTGGCAGATTAGCTTTCCAGTAAAACAGCAGTTGTCACCAAAATGGCTAGTGGGAGTGGCTAGTGGATAGTTCCTCAGTTTTGATAAAATACAAGCCTTCAAATTATTGTTAGGTTTCTCAGAACTTCATGATGAATTATGTGTTAAATATTTGTTCAACACTGAAATACCGTCTTACTTCACAATTAAAATACTCTGGAATTTGAATTCCACTGAATTTCTGACTGTAGCCCTTTCATTCCAATACAGAACAAAAGTAACCGTCTAAGAATCTGGGTATGTCTGAACAGAAATTATTTTACTCAGCTCACCCTAGGTTTGGTTACGCTTCAAGGACACACTGTGAAACCCCCTTTCTGTACCACGCAGTGAAAGATACAACTTGAATGGGATGCTCACTTTGTCGGTGCCGAGGTCTTGTCAAGCTGATGACTTGTCATCAATTAGGAAGGTAGGAGGTTTGTGTGGGAAGGGCACTGTTTTTCTTCTTATTACACACTGTTCACGGACCAATAGGTAACAAGGACCTTTCACAGGTTCTATTGGTAGTTTTCCCTGAAAAACAAACCCCAGTGATCCAGTTGCTTTCTCTATTTGATGGTGCCATGCATTTATTTAAACTGGATAATGCATTTGTGAATGTCTTAATTCTAGCGATTTTCTAACCATGGCATATGAACACAAATTTCTCCATTACACCTTTTCTTTTATTTCCTTTATAGTATATGGAACATTATGCCTTTTCTTTCAAGATTAATCTGTCAAAACATATTTAAAATAGAACTTGAACTTGTTTTTCACTGTAAATCATGCGTGTATAATAGCAGAGATGCCCAGTGCATGCAGGAGTAGTCATAGTAGGCAAAATGCAAAAGGAGAGTTAAAGCTAGTTGCCAGAAGTCATTCACAGATTCAGTGGCAAAATCAGACAGAAGAACTCACATGTCTTCACCTCCTGCTCTCTAACCGTCAGCTCGCACAGCTTCCTGACGTAACGGTCAGACCTCCCTCTTTTTTTTTTTTTTTAATTGGCTCAACTCCATGGGCCATCAGTCCAAATCTGTTCTTGCCTATGGACTGTAACAGTGAGCGCAGAGCACTTGAAAATAAAAAGCCATCTGTGGCTGTATTCATTATGTGACTTTTCACATCCCTACTTCCAGTAGCGAAGGAGCTTTGTCAGCATGACTAGTAGGTCGGAACTTCACACTTGGGTTAGTTGTGTTTGAGAGGAGAAAGAAACAGGTTTGTCGGTTGTTTTTGTGGTCTCAAAGTGTGATGCAGATTATAGCTCCAGAAGAAGGCTGAAGAACGTAGTCATGCTCTCATACTGCCTGTTATGCCAGCCATTAACTGCTGGAAGAAGATCAGTATTGTGCTCGTTGTCATTAAAAGGAAGAAATTAAACGTCCTTTTGTAGAAAAATCATACAAGGGAGGTCTGCTTTTGCAGAGTGAGTCACCTCCTAGCTTTAACTTCTTCTGTTTAAGTGAAGGATAAATCCGTTCTTGATCTCATGAACAATGCAGGTGGGTAGGGGGGTTGCTTTTTTTTTTTTGCTTTTTGCTTTTTCTTTTTTTGCTTTCTAATCAAGTACACCTCATGACCCACTGCTGCTCCAAATCCATGAATATATGTATGAATGTATGAAAACTCCATGCTTTCAAGATGTGTTATATAAAAACACCCCAGCATATCTAGATGGGGTATGTACATTAAATTTACAAAGCCGTTTTTGCTAAAACAGTCTTTGCAGAGCCGGGCCTGATGTCAGAGTCAAACATTTTGTAGTTGTTTGACTTCTAGCGAACAGTAAATTAGTATCTTGGCTTTAAAATATTTTGCGGTTAGTGACTGTATGGCTCACTCTGTACCTGTCACACCCCACAAAGTTCTAACATTTACCAAACACCACACATACCAGGAACTAGCAGAGGCAGAGCCAGCTGGTTTCTCCCCTAAGAAGTCACAGAGCTGTTGCCCATAGGCCGTCCTTGATAAGATCTTAACTGTTTTCTAGCTTTGGATAAAGGTCTGTGTTCTGAACCCTCCCAAGCATACAGCGTCTACCATGGGAGTAGTTCATAAGCACAGCTGCCCTTTTCTCTTGAAATGTTTCAGCCACATCCCTGCTGGTGTAAGAGAATTCCCAGAAGTACATTTTGCAGTGCTTTTTTGAGACTCATTTCAGTCCCGAGTGGTCAGACTGTCAGCTAGCCCTGCGGATGCTTTCATACATTGTAAATAGAAACTGTGGAACTTCCTTTCAGAGCTGATTCAAAGGCTGACTGCATTTTCTATGATAATCTATTTCAATTCCCTATCTTGAATTCATGTGCTGCTAGAAACCCTCCCTTTATACCATGACTTATCTCTTTAAGTGTCTGCTATGTAACTATGTAAATACTGGTGGCGGATCCCTGATAGAGAGATTGTCATTGCATTGCTGCTGGTAACCAGCGGTTATGTCACTTTCCCTCGCTTGAATAGGCTTTGACTCATAGTGGTTTTCAGGACAATGGTTATAAAATAACACACTGAGGGGCTGCCGAGACTATAGTTTTGCAATAGAGACAACTGTCGACCCCAAGGCTACAAGAAAGCATTTTTCTTTTCCTTTTTTTTTTTTTTTAAGGGTTTTATTATTTCATAGTATGCGGTTTTATTGCATGGAAGTTTGGAAAACAAGAAGTCTATGTTAGCAGACTTGAGCCTGGCGGGAAAACCCCACACTTGTGAGCACAAACGCTAATTCTTTCTAACTGTTCTGAAGCATTGCTTAACTGAAATTTTAAGTGCTTCAGTTGTCCTACCTTTCTTTGAATTATTTGATGGCAGGCTGTGCTATACTTTGACTTAAGTGATGGCAGAAAGAATTACTGAAACCAGCGGTTATTCAATTAACCTTTTTCTTTTTCTAATTAAAGGACTTACCTGGGAACAACGGTTAGATGTTGAACTTTTTTTTTTTTTAAAGATTCAAGAGCCCTAGAGACGAGGGCCAAATTTTTGGCAGGTGCAAAATGTCTTAGCATCTTAGGAATCAAAGACAACTGAAGGGTCTGATGGCTGGCTTCTGTTTCCAGGTATGTATCTGACTTTCTATATAAGCTTAAGGATTGCCTACACATGGACACATAACCATCACAAAATTAGCCTTTATTGTTAAAGTGTATATTATTAAGAGTTAAGATCCAGAATTTAAGTGGCTTTAAATAAGTTTTTCACTTTAAATCTAAGTTCATCTGAACTTTCTCAAGAATCCTCTCCAAACAAGGTCTTACAAAAGTCACGTTACCTCTCCTTTCTTCCATTGTTTGTCCTGTCCGCTCAAACCCCATAGGCAGGGCTTGTCCCTTAATACCTGCTTAGCTTACACAGCCTAAGCGGGGGAGTCCGGACCCTTCTGTAAGTAAGAAATGAGAAATAAATTCCTTCATCCCCTCTCTTGAGCTTTGTGAGGCCAATAGCCTCAGAAATCTCAAATTCTGCAGCGGATTTTAAGACAGTGTGAAAAGTGCCCTATATTTTTAGAGTATTTGCAAATGTATGCATTTATATCATGAACATTTCTAGAAACTGCGAACAAAAAAGTCGAACAACTTCTTTTGAAACAACTGCTTCTATTCTGTGGTAGCACAGGTAATTTTCTCCCTAGGCTACATTTAGCACGAACAGTTACACAACTAGTGTGATCCTTTCATATAATGAGAATTGGTGGGAACGTGCAGACTGAAGTGGTCAACACAGCTGGTCTTAAATAAACATACATCATAAGGCACGGGCTTTTTTACCGAGAACCTGGCGTGGACAGGTATATCTATGCAATATGCCACACTGCATGACCAAATAAACACGACATTTCCCTTCTAATGTTCCGCTTACTTGTCCTAAAAGCATGGTTACCCGACATTAAAATAGCTCCACTACTACACGGATTCGCTTAAAGAGAGTGATTAACTGCGTAACTACAGCCTTTAGAATCCCAGTTCTAGCAGGAAATGGGATTCTTGTTTTTCAAAATCGCTTTGAACCGCTATTTCTTCTGCATTACCGTAGGCACCGAAACACCAAACCCAGGAGCGAATTCAGTTTCTCACCGTGGCGTCACCGCAGACCAGCGGGTCAAACGTAACTTTCAAGCACGGTGTGAGCGGGCCGCCTGGTGGGACGCGGTTCCCGGTCGGGTGCCTGCTTTTAGTGCACGGCTCTGCCAAACCCCACAGCGCCCGCGGAGAAGCACAGCCCGGGCCGGGCTGTCAGGGGGGAGGGCGAGTGCCGGCTCATTTCGGCTGTGCGTGAGGCCTACCGCAGCGGCCGGCAGCAGCGGG